TGTCTCCTGAGTCACGTTACAGATAAGACAATATTATGCAATGGCTACTACTAAGAGTGAAGGAGATAGGAGATACTACTAAGAGTGAAGGAGAAAAGAAGATAAAAGATAGAAACTGGAGAAAGAGACAGACAGATATACAGATACATAAAAACACCGCAAAGCAAAAATGGTTCACCACTTCTTGATCCAGCGATGTCTTGGTAGTGCTGATCTCTGGCAGTGGTGGGTTGTCCGAGGCTATGGCAGTAAGCTGTTGAATAACTATGATGAAAGTACGTTCTCTTACTTATAGTCCAGAGTGGTTGAGCCTGCTCTTTTGAATTGACAGCTTCTGGCTTCGGGGGATCCCTCCAGGAACTCTTTTTCCAGTTTTCCACGCCTTGCAAATTTAAATCGGCAGGGAGAGGAGGACTCAAGGAGATACCAGCTTGTATCTTGCCTTCACAGGACACAATGGTATCATCTCCCAATCTCTTGTATCAGGCTGGAAACATTAGCTTCCAGGGCAAGTCTTCAGCCAGAAAACACTCTTGGGCCCTCCCCTGCAAAGGCAAACAGCTCGAAAGAAATGCTTTCAAATGTAAAACTGTCCACAAAGCGTTTCGATTGTCTCGTGATGATTTGAGACAATGCATTCTTTACCAGTCTCGGACAGACAGATACCATCAGCTCCTATGGGAAAAAAATGTAGGAAATATGGGGAAATAAAACAGGTGTTTTTTTGTTTTTTTTTTTTCCCCAAACTAGTACAGTTTACCAACCTCAAATATTTGCCTGTGCTGAGTCAAGCCTGCAAATGTCAAACCGGCATGCAAATAATCAATTCTTTTTTCTTTTAAAAAGGTTTCATTTCAGTTGCCATACATTTTTTAAGAATAATAAAAAAAAAAAAACAACCCTGTATTTTATTTGAATGGTTAGAAACGCACTTTAAATGTTTTTTCTGTAATCAGTGCACCCTATAAATTGAAGTTACTTTTATTACCTTCCATGACTTTCATAACATCTTCATCTTCCTTCCCTCTGTACCTCTATTTCAACAACTTCTACTCTTCCACGCCTAGAGGGAGAGGTAGCAGGTACCTGGATCACTGAGTGTGATTACAAGCTTTAACACACCTAAAAAGAGAAAGCTCCTGGCTTACTAACAGGTCAGACAGAAAGTCAAGTAGATAACTCACATTGAAACCTTAATTTTCAGTAGGATCATTGCATCAGTTTGCATATCTCCTCTTGGAAAACCATAGTCTTCACAAATTTGTTCAAACCTATTTCCCTCCTTCAAACACTGTGCCAGTGTGCTCCTCCTACTTCACCCCTCCTGCTTCCTTCCCTCAGCTCCTTCCATTGACCTGGCCTTGTACCCAAGACCTTGCAGGATGGACAGTGAGCAACAGTACCAGTAATGTTCTTGCTAAAACACATTAATGACCACAAATCTGTCACAAACTGAGGGGCTGAAAGAACTGATAGCAGAAACCTGGTTCAACAGCTGAAGTCCAATTGAGCACACACCTAAAAAGCAACTTATGACTATGAATCAAGTATCTTATTCCTTAAATAGTGAGCAGCCTCAAGGTTACCCCTATACAGAGATCCCTTATACCTTGATGCCTTGCTGATACAGATCCTCAGTAAGTGACAAATGTTTTACTCTTTGCTAGCCTCACTAAGATCACATTTTAGATAGATTGTAAGCTTTGTCAGCTTCACTAAGATTATAGGTTATTTGTGCACATACAGCCTTATACATAAACTATTGGTCAAATCTGGGACTAGGAGTGACAATAAATAACTTATGCCAATCTTGTTCTGCATGACACTGTTCTCTCAAACCAACTACTACATCTTCTGCTGAGTTCTCTACCAGCTAAACAGCATTAGATGCACCCAGTGATTTTGGATGAAGAACTCCCAAATCAATCAGATTATTATTCTGTCAGATTTGCATAAAAACATCTTCTGTTCTGTGTGTTAACAGCTGACAGCATACTACATAATCTGTAGCTTGGACTTCTAAAAGTCTGTATTAAGAATGGACACCAACACAATTTAAGTTTGTGTTTCAACATTTTAATGTGTTGTTTTACAAGTATAAAAGAAAACCTATGTTCTGTGTTCTAGATCTTGCATACTCATTTACATGAACAATCCTTACCGAGCAATCCTTTGTGTGACTCAGGACTACTGAAGTGAATGAAGTTTTTAACATTAGCCCTGTACCTTTTCAGTGACACATACACCTGTAACACTTAAAACAATGGTAGACATCACTAATTCAAACACATATCTTTCCTAGCTAATACAACTCTTCTCCCAGTGCAGCCACTGAGTGCATTGATAATAACACTATCTAGATTGTCACTACCCTGGAAAAATAAAATGCATTTCCTCACATTATAGGACACTTTAGAAACATGAGCTTGTTTGCAAAATACTGGTCTTAATGCAACAGAACATTTTTGTCTCTCCCTTCAGCAGTGGCAGCACCATAAGCTCAGAACATACACAGAGCAGAGATAAGTCAATCAGCAACTGATGCTGAGGAGACATGAGGCACAGCTAAAGCAATGGCACTCATGTTGATGGAGTGTTCAACTGCATTTGGCTGGTATGCACAACTATGGCAAAGCCATGTAGCAGCAATATAACCCAAACAATATTTTTCTCATAATGGTTTAAATATTCAGGCTTCTATGCATGCATTCGAGGACACTGTTACAAAAATAGGAAGTAATATGGCACATTCTCTAAAAACATGTTTACACATTAGCATCCATCATTAGTATGTGAAGTTAAATGGTACCCACTACATACACACACTGAACTCCCAGCTGCATAATTCTGCTACTGCTGACTTACCTGAAACATAAACATTTCACTAGCTGAGGTGTGTGAAGTTCCCACTCTTTTCAAACGGCAAATTCACAACAGGACCAGTGCTGAAGTCTTATTTAAAGACTTCCGAGCTCTCTTTATAGTTCTGAAGTACCTCTACACGTGAAACCACCAAAGTTTTACATCTTTGAACATCTGTAGATAGGCAATGTCTGTAGTTCACTAATCATCATCTATGAATTAGATACTCAGTTCTAGCTAGGAACACCAAAAAAATTGCCCGTGTCCTGAATTCTGAAGTTTTGGAAGCAAAGGACCACATTCTCAATTGCTCCTTCAACTCTCTATTAAAAAAATAATAACAATCTGAAATAATTTAGAAAAGTACATGGAAATACTGTACAGTACCTTTATGTATACAAGTAGAGAGAAGTACTGTCATGTTTTCAAGGAATTGCTTCACCTTTCTAACGCTTCTCAGAGAGAGAAACTAGAGCAGAGATATTTGGTGCCTTTCCCAAATAAGTGAGCTATGTTCCTATGCTAAGCTCACACCAGAAACTCACATTACCACCCACCGATGATTTAATGATATAACACACATACATGCACACATCAAGCAAATTGAAAAACCATAACTCCATTATAAAACAGAAGTAGGAAGACATTTCATTTACAGTGCAGTAAACAAAAAAATAAAAACAGCTTAGCTCTTTGCAGTACTTCATGTGAAATCCCATTACAAATGACTTCAGACCCCAACTTGAGGCATTTCTAATAAAATGGTGTTGATCCGATCCCTACCTAAGAACTTCACATTCTCCATGACAGCAGGTTGGAAGTTAAGCTGAGGCACGAGAAGGTACTTTGAGTCATGAATTATTTTCTTTTCAACAGTAATCACAATGTGTCAAGTAAAGAAGAAACTCAAAGTGCTAAGTAACCGAAGTGCAAAATGCTTTCACTTACTCTTTCTAAACACAGCTATATTGTTTTGTATTTCCACTAAATTGTACTCCTTGGTTATCCACCCGCTAAAGTTTCATCAGTGATTTGCAAAATACAGAAACACTTTCATTTGTGGTGATATAGTGCATAGAAGAAAAAGTCAACAACTTCCATTTTCTTTCTTTCAGACTTCAAGCCAGTAGTACTTATGAGGTAAAAGATGCCAGAGGGTTTGCACTACTGATACCAACCCAGCCACAATACAGAGTCAGAAAGGAGTTATCACAAAAGCACCTGCTTCATGTGCTACCAACTGCTCCGACCCCTCCGACAGTCAGAGGAGCACTTGTCTTTTCTAACTTTAGCCATCTGAAATGGAGACAGATAGTCAGATCAGCTGTCAAGACGTGTGGTTAACGCAGAGCAGCAGGTCTTCAGAGAATGATTCATGTCACCTAAGCCAACATTTTCAGAAAGGCTGAATCACTCACTGGAGATATTTCTTGGACAGCCCCTAGCTGACTAGTTCACACTGTTGACCAAACTTGAAGATATCTCAAGCTATGTGAAGTGGACGCCACCCTAATACCAGAGTATCACAGATTCTGAAGTAGTATTTAAGTGATGTCAGTACACCAAGCTGTTCCAGAACATTATGCTTACTGTGTTAAATTTAATTCCCTTAGTAACGAGCAGCAAATATGAAGAGTAAAATACTGCATAAGCCAGTAACCCCTCTGTCCACTCTCAGTAACAGTCACATTTCAGCGTTAGTGCTAGCTAATTAGCTGTTTTCTTGGCAACCCAGGCTACTGTGCACTGTAGAAGTCAAATTCTTATGCCACAGAGAGAAGCATTATTTTATCACATTGACTAGAGTGTAGTCTGCAATTCAACCAAAGCAGACCACAGCTATAGTCAGTTTAAAGTCAAAGACTATGCTCTGTGTCTGTGTGAGGGTGACATGCCATAATGACATCCTTTCTGAAATGAAACGCGTTTCCTTCCATCCTCAGATTTCCTGAGTAAGATGAGAATCAGGCTAGATTTTAAAGGATGTCTTCTATAATGATTTTAAAATAGGCACAGGATAATAAACCTATGTGCAAAAATAAAAATCTGAAACAGAAGTCTACAAACAATGACTGCTCTCTATGTCCATACACAGACAGTCAGGTACACATACCCAAACTCACAGTTTTCCACAAAGGTAGGCTTGTCACTTGTCATGCAGTGTACACCTGCAAGAAAGAAATCCCATCCACAAGACACAATATCCATGAGGCCCAACATTCCCAGCAGCTGATCTGCCACGTTCCAAAGGCACAGACTTGCTTCCAGTTGAACTAGGCATTGGAAGAAACACTTTGATGAGGATTCCCATTCGGAGAATCTATTGTCTTGTTACTGCTCTGTGACTCATCAGCATTTTCAGATGATTTCAAATCCGCTTTGTCTGTCAGGGTGGAGGATTTGGGAGACTTGCAAATAAAGCAGAACATGAAACAGGACAGCAAACCTTCGGTAATGCTGGATGAGAACAGTTTTTTGCATGGGTGGCAGAATTGGTAGAACACCAACATGAAGAGGATAGCCATACAGTAAGCTATCAGGAGCTGCAAGACCAACAACGGGGCGCAGACATATAAGTAGATATCAGTTTTATAGATGTACCACATCAGCAGGAGGAATGCATTCTCGATGAATCTCAGCATATAATACACAGTCAATCGGTACCAATTTTGGGATTTGTTAATTAAGTCAGGATCATTGAGCTTCACCTGCACTGCCGACCAGCAGAACATATTAATGCCTGCATACAAGAAGGTAAGAAGGCACAAGACAATAGTAGTGCCAACCCTGCTCAGTGCCTTCTCTATGTTCTCAGGAAATGGGGACTTGCTTTGCCAGAAGAGAATCCATGGATAAAAGAAAAAACCAAAGAAATTCACTAGCACAACAGGGAGAGTCCAGATCTGAAGTACTGAGCTGAAAAGGACCAGCACTGTAACACGTGTAGCAATCTCAAAGCTTCTCCACATGAATATGCAGAGGTAGGCAGCTGGTTTCACACTGACATCATAATCATCGTATTTAATCTTAATAGCCAAGATGTTGCAGCGTAAGGCGCCATATACAATTGACAGAAGAGAAAGAACCATAAAAATACCTACGGAGAGAAAAGACAAACCAGAATGATCAGTTCTGCAGAAGGCATTGCATCACCATAGTGCACAGATGTCTTCACGGCACTTCTGGGGATTCCCAGTAGGGTATAATGCAGAAAAAAACATATCCATTCTGTGTATCCATTTCTGGGTTTTTACTCTAACTCTACCTCTAACTTTGGTCCTCACTTACTACTTTTCCAAGCAGATAAAAGACAGGATGCACAGAAGAATCACAAGCATCTCCCCACCACCAGCCCAGTACTGTCTGTACCTGTACTGTCTATGGCAATTATACAGCTCCGTTCAAAACAGGAGAACGATTCTGACCTAAGTAAGATATGGATGTATAGGCCCTGGACATACAGAGTAAACAGAGAAGTATCTCAGTGTTCAGAAGTGCTAGCTATGCTTGGTTTTGTCAGTATTTGCATGCTTCCTTCACAGTTTTTAACAATATGCTGAATAGCTGATTTAGGGGACGAATTTTAGGTGCCTTCATTCAATACTTTCAGTTTCAAACTTTGCACTGTTTGCATGCAAGGAGCACTTCAAATGCAAATCACACAAGACAGTAAAAATGATTTTGTTGTTCTTTTAGAGTTTGAATGAAAGTAACCAAGCTAAATGGTCTCACTACAGAGCATTGTATTGCATCAGATAAAACAAGATAAACAGAATTGGCACTTCTTGATTATGCCAATTACTTCTGTAATGTTTAACAACTAGTGCTTGCCACAGCCTTCAGGTAGTTTTTGTCATTATCCAACACATGAACTGGATTTCCTACTTTGTTATAGCTATTTAACTGTGACTATCTGTTTTTCTTCTAATTAAAATTACTGATTTCTGACCATGAGTTTGAAAGAAACCAGTGTATTTAGGGATCTCTGATAACTTTTCACATGATTTTCTCTATCCTTTCAGCTAACCTCTCTCCCATGCATATCATCAAATACTTTGAATTACTTTAGAGAAGTAATTAATTACTCCTTCACATCTGAATTTTAAATAGCACTCAGCAAACTGGAAAAAAAGCCACTTTATATTGTGATTTTGTACGTACCTTATGTTCTCTGAAAATGGTAATGCATTTGCATGTTTCACACCTGCATTTTTAATTTGCATTTTTAAACATCTCTCTTATAGCAGTACAGTTGAACTGAGATTTTTTAAGCTTTATGCTTCCAAAAACATTGTCTAAAAGCAAAAGAGCAATCAAATGGAGCCAAGAATACCACTATGGCCAAAGCCAGTCTTGTGGCTCCTTTCAACACCTTCCCTCTGTTTTTGTGTTCGTTTGAGAGCTGTGAGAGAACAAATAACCTCTATGAGCTAATTAACCAAGAGAATGCTCTCAGAATTTAAAAACCAAAGCACCCAAAACAAGCAAACCACATAAACACACACATCTACTGGAGAAAGCGTGCTTCTGTCCTGGAACTCAGCATGTCTTCTGCTTTGCTAAGATGATAAATCTTACTACCCAATTTCATTTTAGGGATGAATCGCAATCAATCTCAAACTTGCCATATTAACTCAATCCTTTGAAAAAGGCACTTTTCAATGATACAAACCAGCCCATGCTTACTGTGGTTTAATACTACCACTAGTTCAAACATTGCTTCTAAATCCTGTGATAAAGACAGTTGGAGCAACCACAGAGGGAAATACCAAAGAGCGACAGTATTGTAGCTTTTACTTGTCATGAGCAAACAAGAAGCATCATTTCATAAAGGAAAGTAGCTTCCTCTGGAACAACCAAAGTCCTCTACCAGCTCCTGTAAACACACCATTGCTCTTCTTTCTGCCTACTCCCAGAAAGCGATACTTCTCTCACAGGTCAGAGGTGTGCAGTTCCAGAATCAATCCAGAAACACTTTGTTGTTGTTGTCTTGAATCTTTTCAAGACCTGGTCTTTTCCTCACCTCAGAAGTTGGTAAGAGGGTGATTTCTCCTCTAGGTGAGCCACATCACAAATATAATATTACTATTATCTTACATTCATAAGAATTATATGATTCAGATAAGCATCTTAGGCTACTTTATATCTATATTGTAATTTTCTAAACAGCTGTTCAGAATCTCTGAAAAATATGGGAACTTTCTTACCTAGTGCAAAACACGTGGATATCAAAACCTTTTCCTTCAGATACGACTTCAACACTTAAAAACTATGAATAATCAAAAACACTGGAAACATGTTCAAACAATGAAAAATGTACTCTGTTGTCAGAGCTTCATGAACTAAAGAAAAGCCACTGGGGAAGTATCTTAAGATATCTGGCAAGACCACCCAGAAAGCACAATTCATGCCCGTTAGGAAAGTGATACTATGAAGAGTAGCACGTTGAAGAAAAACCATATGAACAAAACTTCTTTTCTTGGAGACAGCAGACACTGCTACAATTAAAGGTGTATTTTTTTTTTAATCAGCTGAATAATTTCATTTTTAAATGGGAGGAAATTCACCTCTTGAGAGTATCAGTGTGAATAACATCTATGCACTTCATGCTAAACAGTTACTGAAGCTTTATTTTCATGGTTTTTATCACAAACTTTCAGACTTTATTTTACTTTAGCAACTGTCTTTACTCCTCATCTTACATTCTTGGCAGACAAAGAAATGACAATTTTGAAGAATGTCAGACACTTGTAAGTATCTGATCATCCAGAGAAATTCATGTATGCCATGAATTACAGGAGAAAGACATAGCATTGACAAAGGTTTAGCTAAAGGACTGGCTGTGGTTTAACGTGGCAGGTGACTCAGCAACCACACAGTCCTTTGCTTGCTGCCCCCCCTTGCCAGTGGGATGGGGAAGAAAATCAGGAATAAAAAACTATAGAGATAGAACTATTTACTATAGAAAAAAGGATAATAGTTAGGTTATATATATATAAATGTGTATACATATATATATCTGAATGCATATAAAAAGTGATTTTTATCACTTTTTATAGTGATTGCATAAGTGATTGCACAAGCCATTGATCACTACCTCTTGACCAAAGCACAGCTAGCCCCCCAGCAGTGGAAAAGAGGCAGATGAATTCCAACCCCCTTCAGAACTCCTTCCACATGATGTCCTGTGGTATGGAATATCCCTTTAGCCAGTTTAAGTCAGCTGTCCTGATTCTGTTCCCTTCCAAGCTGCTTTGGCCCTTTGGCGTGAACGGCCTTAACTCTGTACAGCACTGCTTAGCAGCAACTATAAACATCAGTCTGTTATCAACATTGTTTATCTCCTAGAACCAAAACACAGCATCATACCAGACAGTCTAAAGAAAACAATTCTGTCCCAGATGAAACTGAGACACCCACCAAAATAGGAAGGTGGTAACAACAGCTCTACCTACTTCTGGCAGCCGTGATCTCCTGCTGCAGGACGCAGATGTAGAGCTGGAGTGTGAGCTGTGGTGCTGAGCCAAGGAATGCCTGGATCACAGAGGCCCTGCTGAATGCAGACCTGTGGGTACACAGCTTGCCTTCAGCCTGGCCCACTTCCTTCTCAACTTCTTCTGAGTACCCATCCTTGGGCATCTGCCTCTTCTTTGTGATGCTGACATAGGGCTCTTCAACTCTGCCGGCATGGAAGTAAATGTAAAAGACTTCCACACACCTATAAGCAAGTTAGTAAATAGAGTAACAGGAAAACAGGAATTAAAGCATAAGTCTTCTCACCAGTTAGTATTTTAAGCCATGACATATTAAGCCATTAAGTCATCTTTTTTTTTTTTTTTTTTTTTTTTTTTTTTTAAACAGAACAAACCACATTTTCTCCTTTTGGTATATTTGCAATAAGACAGATTTTGCTATGCAAAACATGAACTACTGTGACGAGAGGACAAGAATCTGGGAATGCCCTCTGAGCTGCTAGCAGGAATACTTGAGAATGAGAGGTTTGGCTGCCTCCTCTGAGCCACCCTTGCCTCCTGCTGTCCTATTAAAGTTCTTGGACTACTCATCCCCAATGTTCACAACTTCCCAATATAGCATTCAAGCAGAAGGTGTTTCTTCAGATTCTCACGTTTTCCACTGTTAAGCATACAGCTGTGACCAATAAAACTCCTTCTCATATCTTTGCCCTAAGCAGAACATCTCAAGAAACTGGAGGGAGGCTCAGAGTACAAGTGGGTACAAACACCGCAAACACAGTTGGACTCAAACCTTGCTTTACCAAGCAGTGGTTCCAAAAAAGAGCCAACAAGCAATAGCAGCAGTAATGAGAACAAGCAATTTAGCATCTCACAACTCATATTAGTCTATTTTAAGAAGACACATAAATAGGAGCTTTATTCCTTGTGTTTCCTTAGATTTACTGCAACATTTAAGGAACATAATGCCAGTATTGCAAGAGTATTCCAAGAAGATGCAGTGTTTCCAGTTTCTGTGTCTCCTTGCTCTTTAAATACAGGAGAACCAAACCCCCTTGATTACATAATGCCACACATTAATTTTCAAGGAAAGAAAGTACCAGTGCACACATTCCTCTTTATAAATCAGATATAGTTTTAACATGGTTTTATTACGTGCTGCCTCTATCCACATATGGAGAATAATCCATATGTTAGGGGGAGGATGGAAAAGGGCTAAAAGGACCAGCATCAGCAAGTGTTATTGCAGTGAGGGAAATTAGTCAACCTGAGTTCTAAATAAGACAATACAGCCTCAGACAGATTTCTGAAGGTCTCCAAAATTGTCTTCCAATGACCATTTTCAAACCTGGAAAAATTCTGCAGACACAATTCTAAGAGAGTTTTGTGATATGGAAGTGTCAAAGGTGGGCTTCAGCAACAAGCAGGATCTGAAACACTCAGAGGAACAGTCAACATTATTAGAGGAGTAGTAACAAGCAAGTATATAATAAGGTACAGGCAAAGAAAGGGAAAAGAAATGCTCTGTTTTTGCATAGGTTCCTGAAGATATGGGTCTGTGGTGGAGAAGTGGAGAAGTGGTATTAAAAAAATATTGAATTTTGAATATTGAAAAAAATAAAAATCTCCCAAACACAATGTGGACAGAACACATTTTGTCTTTTATGCCTAACACTTACAGACTTCAAAATTAGAAAGAATGGATGCATGAGCTGCACAGCTAATGAAGGCTGGCTTATGCTGAAGATCTTTCCCAGCTGAGAGAGAACCTCAAGTGAGAGGAAACCCCATCTGTGAGGACACCCTGTGGCTTCACTTCTGGTCACAGCTCCTCCCATGGCTGGACACATATGTCATCTTCTTTCTTTCCAACATGCCTTACTGAGGTTCATCAGCTCCACCTGGTTGCCTTCAAAGATAATAGCTGCTGGAATATGGTATCTCAGCCTTCTGCAGGACACATTAAACCCAAGAGTTTTTGTAAAATATAAATAGAAAATAAGCTTTATTTGAAGTATCTCACAATTACAAAGCATGGAGTTATGCTTGCCTGAGACTATTACTTTCAACTTCATTTTTTTTTCATTTTTTCTCCCCAAGAACAATTGCCAATTCAGCATCTATGACAGCACACAGACTGAACTGAAAAGCAGCCCTAATAAAAATTCATTTTCCCCCCCTAAATGGGTCACTAGCAAGTTTCAGCTATTCCAGATGGAGGGCAGCTTCAGTGCCCTGTAGTACTATCCTCGATTCACTGAGCTTCAGCTGCTATCATCACTAAAGCCATGTGAAGGGCCTGATGAACTGGAGCCTTCATTCACAGTGATGACTTTCTATTGTCCCCTTGTTAAGCTTTCAGTCCCTGCCAGCTTTGTTCCACGTGAAAGAATCAGTACAGCCAAAAGTAAAGTGTGACAAATTAATAAAGCACAACAGCTTATGAACTCAATGCAGATTCTGAAAACAACAAATTGATTCTGTTCCGAAAGAAAGATCCCAAACATTTATATCTCACTTAGTATTCACAGCCATCTATTCATCCACAGTTTGAAGCTATTACAGAAAATGAGATCTCAGCATCAGCCTCTGAACTCTTGCAGTGCATGACTGGAAGCGAGACACAGTCTAGGGACCCATCAGATATGCAGTAATCCCATAAAAGAGGTGATAAGATTCACAGGACTAGTGACTATAGTAAATACTATAATAAACATAAAAATGGGTTTTGGAGCAAGCACATGATTTTTATTTATTAGCTAGGTATTAAGTAGCTGTACACTGAGTTCCATGTGTGTGATGGGAAATTTTATGCCCATGTAAAAAAGCAGACACTTCCAGAACAGTGTGAAATAAATGGTCTGACCAGCATACCTTACAGACAGAGGGGACTTATAACTGAACAATGGAGCAGTAAAAATGACATGCACAAGGACTCAAATTACCTAAGTAGTGATGCTCATCTTCTCCTGAGCACTAACCACCCTACACAGGAGTGTTTCTGGAGGTCATGCTTTTTGGGGCCAATGACAGACACATTCAAGACTCCAGATTGTGCTACAGCCAAAGCAACTGCTTAGAGGTTTCCTTCAGAATGGGGAACTCCAGAGGAGACCCAATTGCTCATTGTTCATTGCTGCTCAGGAGGAAAATGAATGGGAGATCCCAAGTTCTGCAGAAACTATCCCTCCAAGTCAGGGATGCTTAGGGCCCTCCAAAAGGCCCTGAATTCATGGCAGAAGGCGCTGAACTGGAAAGCTTCTCTAGATGCAAAGCAATGAAAGCCAAGGGCTTAGAAGGAGCTAAATTTACTTCAATATAAGATAAAAAAATAAAATTACTCTTAACCAAAAGTTAAGAGGTGAGGAAAAGATGTGCTGCTTTCTCTCCTGCTGCCAAATCTTGGCAGAAGGAACAGCTAAACTTTTTCAAGGACACTGATGGTGTCTGCAAAGAGTGATTCAGCAGCAACACATCCATCTTCCACACAGTCTGTAGGAGGAATGATCCCATCCTTATATGCCTGCTGAGAACGAGCACCTCATTCCCTCTTTGAATCGTGGATGTGTGGAATTTCAATACAGGCAAAATGGTGGTATGAAGAGTGTGCAATGAAGATATGGAACTCCCCACCTTTAACAAGTGCTGTAAGAGCAAACGTCCATTTGAGAGGTCTATCCAGGTGTGCTCACAACCATTGTACAAAAGGATTTCTTATATAACTCCATTTCTAACAAATTCATTTTCTTTAGTTAGGTGTGCAAAGACTTATTGCTCCTACAGAATTACTTATCTTTGTCAGATAAAGCTCTGCTCCTCATTCATGATCCTACCTTCCATTGCACTGACTCATCACATCCTGGACACCTAATGCATCTGCTCAAGAATAATGAAAAAAAAAACCAACCTGTAGAGACTCTAAGCATATTCACCCCATCTGGAAAAGAGGGAGATGCATCAACAGTTGTGAAGTTTAGAGCTAGCTGGCTTTCCTAAAGTCCTAGGAAGTAGGAAGTCCTACACAGAAAAGAGTTTTTTAGACCTGTGCTATTCTAAGCTATCAAGCAGGACACAGAACACCCGTAAGGAATAACATTTTGCACACCATGTGTGAAGCATTATCAGTACTTATTTAATTCCAGACTGCTGAATTAGGTGCCCAAAACATTAACAACTGACAATTCCATCTCACCAGCAGTTTTTTACATTATTTTCTTTATTCTTTATTTTCCTGTAGCTCCAGAATCTATCTTTGGTCACACAATCTCCTCTGGCAGTGTTATAAACCTCCTCCTTCTTCTTTGCTGCTGTCCACATGGTACGTATGCATGTCATTCTGCTTCTCCTTATGTCTTTAGAAATGAGGTCTGATCCCATCAGAAGTCTGCTGTGTATATCCTTATCCCATTAAACTCCGGGGGAAACAGTCATCAGTGTTTTATATATGGATCTGTTTCATATTTGCTTTTAATTTTTTTCTCCACAAGAGAAGTTCATTTGGCAGACAGAACCAGCTCCTAATTGCATGCTCCTTGTGAGCAGGACTCTCTACTCAGCTAACAAAGCACTTCAAGACACCAGAAATCACTTAGCTTTCCTCTTCCCTTTTCCTCAAAAGGAGGCACCACCAAGCTAACACTAGCCTCTCATCAATATGTCACTCTAGTACTGTCTTCAGAAAGTCAGACAGTAAGAAATAACAACATCCAGCTGACTCAAGGCGTAATAGCACCAACATTGTCAGCCCTGACTGCTCATGCTCACTTGCTAAAAATCTGCATTCTATAGTTCATCTCCTTACCTATCAATAACTCTCTGAATAGAAAAGGGCAGACAAGTCTTTTCACAAAGAGTTCTTCAAACAAAATCCTAAGTGTGGATCAATATACAAGCAAAAATACATCCAGTTATTATTTACCAGAATTGCTGAAACACTTGAAATCTTGAGACATCATTCGTGCTTTAGGTGCTGTCCAAATGAGCTCAGAGCAGAGACAGCCCCTGGCCCAGGAGAAGCCAGCAGTGAGCCAAAAAACTCATCACAATCTTTTCTGAAGAAAAGAAAAACGTATTTAATCTCTAATTGGTATTGGCCATTATTTGAAATCAACTGCTGTGTTGTAATTTATTTTATATAGTAAAAGAAACTCTTCTGGCAAGAGAAATTATCCAAAGATTTTCTAAGCATCCAGGAGCATTACAGCATTCAGAAGTGGCACCAAGCTGAAACACAGCAAGACTCCCTCCCGGTGCCTAAAAATCTGCTGTCACCTTGCTGCAGCCAACTACTGCAAGTAATCTTTCTGGCTCTGGAGACAAGAGTGCGGGCACAGAGGTTACTGGGAACTACAGTCTACAAATTGCTCTGGCTTTACAGAGAAACTGTTCCTCTTGCGGAGTGGGAGAAAGAATTCCAAAAGGGCAAGCAAACAGTTCAGGTGCAGCAAGTGTACTCTCCAGGAAGAGTGAAGTGCCCTAATTTCAGTGCAGGACAGCGAGTGACTGCAGAACAGGTGGAGCGTGGGTGTCTGGGGAAGGTGGTGGCACATAAGAAGGTTTCATAAGAGGATGTGTTTTTTTTCCCCAGTCATACAGAGGATTCAAAATAATCTGGACCATTTGGCTTGCTAAACTAAATATGCTCTCTCTCCTACCATGATACTCTCATACTGTTTTCCAAATTTTTTCCCCCTAAAAATTAAATTGAAATGGAGAAAGATGTCTGACTGTAAAGATTATGAAGAAATCACACACATACACAGGTTATCTATAAACCAATGCATTGCTGTCTGTATTTGAGTCTGAACAGAAAACCATTAAACAACTCATATCATCTCACAAATCCAAGAGAGATGGTTAAAAAGCTAATGTGAGCTATTTAAAGCCTGCCAAAACAGGCTGCTCTCTATTGAATTATACCATCTTGCACATCCTCCAGGCTATTTAACATTTCCTCCTGATGCTGCAAACGGCCAGAGCCTGGACAGTTCTACTGTTCATGGGCCCTATCTGAATTTATTTAACCCAGCACTCCCAAAAAGGATGCCGAGCTGTGGCAGTGAGGTGCAGGATTCCTGCTAACAAAGGATCAAATGCAGAAGACAGTGTGAGGCTTCATGCTGGGGACCCCTAGAGACTACTGGGTGTAAGTAGCTTCGAGAAGAAAAGAAAAAACAAAAACAACCAAATCAACATTGGGTAGACACATAAACCAAAAGTCCTTCTGAAACAAGGCAGCAGGTGACTAACAGTAGGGCTCTTCCATTCAAAGTATCACAGATGGGACAAAAAGGCTGCAGGGACATTGTTTCTCTTCAGCTCACAATGGTAAAAGCCATACTGATGCCGATAATGCAGCCAAATGCTTTCCTTTTAGCTATTCCCTCTGCTTGCATTCCAGCCCACACAGGACTGAAAGCCTACTGCTCAAATCAGGAAAAGGTGATGTTCTGTATGCTGAAAACATGTCAGCATTCCCAGCCCAGATATTTGTTTCCTCTTCTGACACACAACAGCATTTTGTTGCAGGAGATAAGGTGAGAAAGGAAAAGAAGACCTTTACCGTCCTCTCAGACCAAGGACTTCAACTTCCCATGCTTTTGTGCTGTATACAAGTAGAGGCATTTCTCTGAAGTTACGTTGCTCCAAGAGAGGTTCAAGTTGGATATTGGGAACAATTTCTTCTCAGAAAGAGTGGTGAGGCAGGGGCACAGGCTGCTCAGGGTGGTGGTGGAGTCACTGTCCCTGGAGGTGTTGAAGAACCATGTGGATGTGACACTGAGAGATGTGGGCAGTGGGTATGCTGGGGTTGGGCCGACATTGGACTACGTGATCTTAGAGGTCTTTTCCAACCTTAATGATTCTGTGATTCTAAATCAGGCTGTTTCCTATCAAACCCTTCCTTTAATTTGTACAGTTCTTTAGCAAGAAGAAAGCTTGTCAAGTGACATGATCATTCTGCCCTCTGTTTATTAATCATTACTGCAGCTATCCTGGGTCTAAAGAGACAGGCTAACATTTCACCCTATACTGCATGTATGCTGCTGGGAAACAGTGACCCAGGAACACTGCAACACTTCTGGAACACTTCCAAGCCTTCTAGAGATCACTGTGGTGAAGGAAAACAAAAAATGTTTTTACAAATCTATTAACTGTATGAGAAGGGCTAAGGAGAATCTCCTGTCCTGTTTAACATCTTTATTAATGATCTGCTTGATGGGACTGAGTGCACCCTCAGTAAATCTGCAGGTGACACCAAGTTGGAGGGAGGCCCAAGTTGGATAGGGAGGCCCAGAGGGATCTGGGCAGGCTGGTTTGATGGGCTGAGGCCAATGAGATGAAGTTCAACCAGACCAAGTGCTGATTCCTGTACTTTGGCCACCATAACCCCAGGCAACACCACCGGCATGGGGCAGAGTGGCTGGAAAGCTGCATGGAGGAAAAGGATATGGGGGTGTTGGTCAATGCTCAGCTGAACGCGAGCCAGTGGTGTGCCCAAACCAATGGCATCCTTGTTTGTATCAGAAATAGTGCAGCCAGCAGGAGCAGAGAGATGATCGTCACCCTGTTCTCAGCACTGGTGAGGCTGCACCTCGAGTGCTGTATTCAGTTTTGGACTCCTCACTACAAGAAAAACATCAAGGCCCTGGAGTGTGTCCAGAGATGGACAATGAAGTTGATGTGGGATTTTATGGGGAGCGGCTGAAAGAACTGGGATTGTTCAGTCTGGACAAGAGAAGGCTCAGGGGAGACCTTAACATCTCAGTATCTGCCTAAAAGGAGGTTGTGGCGAGGTGAGGGCCAAGTGAGGTTCAGGTTGGATATCAACTATTTCTTTTCAAGAAGAATGGGAAGGCACTGGAGCAGGCTGCCCAAGGAGGTGGTTGGAGTCACTGTCCCTGGAGGTATTTAAAGAAAGGATATAGATGTAGTACTTGGAGACATGGTTTAGTGGGCAATATTGGTGGTAGGTGAATAACAGGACTAGACGATCTTGGAGGTCAATCATTATGGTCAACCTTAATGATTCTTTGAATGGAAGCAAAAAAATCCTGGAGAAGGAGCGATGCTGGTGACTCACATGCACTGCAGCCCACACGAAAATGAGAGGCTTCCAGATGCCCATTGTTTTTACACTAATGACTGCATCTGGGAGTTCACTGACACGGCAGAAAACATTTTCTATGAAAGATATGGCTTGTGTTGACAACAGATAAACTTGCCATTGAAAGGAAATAGAAAGTGAAATCAGGCTTGGTTAAGGCTGAGACAGAGGTCTATGACTTTTCCAGAGAGCTAGAAAGAAAATCTAATTTGTTGCTGCAGGCTCTTTATTTCCTTCTTCACACCTCACAGCTCAACTGTCTTGACCTCAAGTAACTGTTTTAGAAGAACAAAAATCACTAGCAGCCCCTTTGTTTAACTGGTTGTTTTCTCTTTGGTTCCACTCCTGTTTTCCAAAAAACATGCATTTTGTTGCTCCTAGCTCTTGGAAAACCAGAGCTCTTAGAGAATGTAGTTCATAAACAAGATAGAACCAAGTCCATAACTCAGCAATCTCGTCATAACTCAGCAATCTCGTCAAAACATAAGCAAAAACAAACCACGAGGGTTACAGAGGAATTTGATGTTTTTGTGAAGTATCAGATGTTCTGCAATGTCCAGGCTGCTTGCCTTCATTTCAATCGCAAAATCATTAAGGTTGGAAAAGACCTAAGACCACCCAGCCCAAGCAGCAGCCCATCACACCATGACCACTGCCCATGTCCCTCAGTGCCACATCCACACGGTTCTTGAACACCTCCAGGGATGGTGACTCCACCACCTCCCTGAGCAGCCTGTGCCACTGCCTCACCGCTCTTTCTGAGAAGGGATTGTTCTCAGTACCCAACCAGAACCTCCCTGGCACAACTCAAGGCCATAACCTTTTGTCCTATCACTAGTTAGCTGGGAAAAATTAGTTTGAGCTTAACATATCTTCCATCAACACACTGTAGAGGAATTTCAAAAAGTTGAGGACATCTCTCCTCATATATATATATATATGTTTATTTCCCTTTTCAAGATTTGAACATAAATTTAAAATGAAAGCCTATAGCGAACAATTTGTCACAGGTTTGCATCAACTTTGCAATTTTTCACCTGACGTTTTTTTCCCTTACTTTGCAATTTTTTGTCTGACTTTTTTTTTCCCTAAGGATCTTTTCCATCACAAGTTGAACTTAGGTTGAAAATATTCCAAAAGCCATTTGGGGCAAAAAACTCTCTTTCCGGAAGAGCATTTTCGGTACTTCCAGCACACAGAGAAGCTCCTCGCTATCCCTGTTTTCGCAGTAGAGGCTGAGGGAAGAAATCTTTTCTCTCTTGGAAGTAACCTTGGAGCATGCAGATAGGGATAACACAGAAACGAACAAACACAACCATCGGACAGCTTACCTCATTGGCAACAAAGACATATGGACAAGAAATAAATGCAATATATAACAGAAAGACGGGCAGAAAGGAGGGGAAGAAAGAAGGGAAGAAAGAAGGAAGGACACACCATGAGGCTCTGTGGGGAGGAGCTGCCACCAGCCTCTCGGAAGGCACATAACCTATTTTTCCCACTGCTGTTTACTGAAGATCAGCAACACCGCGCCCCTCTGCCTCAGGACGTTAAGAGCAGAAATAAGGAAAATGCACACGCACACATCTGCATCCCCGGGCAGACGCGGCCGCGGGGCACTCACCGACCTGACGAGCGGCCCCAATTGCAGCAGGTGCAGCAGCAGCACCAGCGGCCGGTCGCGGCTCACGTCGCGGTGGATGAAGACCAGGCTGAGCTGCACCAGCGCGCAGGGCAGCAGGGCGAAGAGCAGCGTCAGCCACTGCCACATGCGGTCCCCCGCCGCCCGGTACGCGCCGCTCAGGCACAGCGCGGTCGCCGTCTCGGCCACGAAGAGGACGAGGGAGATGAGGACGGAACCCGGGAATTTCATCGCCTCCCGCCGCAGCCGCCTCACGCCCCGCGGCCCGGCGCGCCCACCCGAGTGCCGGCGGCGCCCGCAAGAGGGAGCGGCGGCGCCCGCAAACCCGCCTGCAGCCGTAGGGGGGCGGGGGCCGCCGAGGCGCGGCCTGGCCCTGCGCGCTGGGCTGTGGCGGAAGGCGGGAGCCAGTGAGTGCGCGGAGGCTTCTCCTCATCCGAGCCCACCTAGGTGAGCAGGAGGGCAGGAGCCGCCTTTGCAGTGTATCACCCTGAATCTGAGTCTCTGGCACCACACGAAGCTGGCCAGTCCCGCTGGGCTGGCAGATGGTGCCCGCATCGGTGTTCAGTCACTGCCACTTCCTTCTGCCTCTCCGTGCAGGCTCTTGGTTCGCGCCCAGCCGGCTCTGTGCCTCCCTCACAGGTCCTGCATCTCAGCCTGCTCACAGGGAGCTGCAGATCTGCCAGAGACCTGGGAACTAGCAGTACATAGGAAAGGCAAAATACAGAGTCTGAGATGCTACTAGCTTATTAAGGAGAGAACGCTGATAGCTACGTGCGCGTGCCAGCTAATATTCCTTAATGCTACTGAGGTTGTCCTCAGTTTTACTGAAAAAGTGCCAACGTAATCGCTGGTGGGAATGTTTCTTGAACTGCCTTTGCACAGGCAACTGTGGACCCCCTTCACTCACCTCTGCTGATGGGCTCAACTGATGTCAGCAGAGGAACCTTGTTAGGGGTGAGCCTGGGTGATTCATAGGCTGATCCAAGGGACGGAACAACTCCCCTGTGAGATCAGGCTGAGGGAGCTGGGGCTGTTCAGCCTGGAAAAGGCTCTGGGAAGACCTGAGAGCAGCCTGTCAGTATCAAAGGGGGGCTGTAAGAAAGAAGGGGACAGACTAGTTAGCAGGGTCTGTCGTGATAGGACATGGGGTTTCAAACTAGGAAAGGGGAGATTTAAATTGGACATATGGAAGAAGTTTTTTACAATACTGGTGGTGAGGCACAGGCACAGGTTGCCCAGAGAGGCGGTGAATGCCCCGTCCCTGGAGACACTCAAGGTCAGGCTGGACGGGGCTCTGAGCAGCCTGATGTAGCTGTAGGTGTCCCTGTTCATTGCAGGGGAGTTGGACCAGATGGTTTCTAAGGGTTGTTTAGAACTCAGACAGTTCAGTGATTGTATAATTTAAATGCTCTAATGCTCCTCACTAAGAATGGAGGGGCTTTCTGGAGAGGCGACCAGTGATGCATATTCCACGTAATGGGATAGAAGCTAAGTGAAACTAAACAGCAAAGTGACAAGCTTTAACCTCCAGGCCAAAAGAAGCTCATCTCCTGTTATCTCCTGTGACCATGGGATAGCTCAGATGAATCCCTATCTGTAGCCTGAATGCTTTACCTCATTATCAGACAAATGATATTACCGTTGATAACACAACACCACTGAAAGTCTTGGAGCTCTGAGTCACTAATGCTTCAGAAAGAAAAGCTGCTGTCACCAAAGCTGCCATGGATGATAGAGAATTGACCAATCCAATGCAAAGACATACAGTTCAAGGTTGGGCTTTTATTTAAGGCAAAATATAATCACAGCTTTAATATTAATATCATGGATATACACAGTTTGTTCTGCCACTATGAAGCTTAGTATTGTCACTGCTTTTAAAAAGCTATAAAATCTATTTTCTATCATAATCTACAATACAAAACTAATACAATAAACACATTCTGTAAGATCACAGTGTTTAAACATTAGAAGAGCAGGTGTCCTGCTTTTAAACAATAAGGTGCATTTCTAAAGAATCAAATCAATCTTGATTCTGAAGAGACTGTACGACAGTATGGCTGCAAATAGCTATTCCACTGAGACATGAATCTAGGATGTAGCATATACTCAAGAAATCAACACAATATTGGAATATATTGAAGTGTAACTAACAGAAACTGGACATAAACTAACACCTTTTATTAGTAATGTCATGGAAGTTCCCTGTACTTTTTATTGGTATTGGCTTTCATGCATATAGCAGACATTTTGAGCAAAAATGGGTATAAAGTTGCTATCAGATAGGACCCTGTGTATGCTAGCTTTCCTCTTAACATATGAGCAAGTATCAGTAATCCCACAGGACTTGTACTGAGGAAAGTTTGCAGGTTTGGGGCCCAGAATGATGCAGTTTTGCCCCAATTTCACACATGTGGAAGGATGTAACCCTACATGCCTGAAATCAAATGGAGATTCACCACTGACGTAAGTGGGTTGCATATCTGGCCCCTAAAACGAGAGCATGAGGTCAAATCAGTGGCAAAATTACACCTTTGTTAGAAAACCTTCTCCTTTTGTGTGGTAATGGTAATGAAGACAAAAGCAGAGCTTAATTTCAGGTCAGGCAGCCTTTCTCTTCTATATGAAATAGAATTCAGTATTTGAATAGGATTTGTTTTCTGTTCACTTACAGGATACTATTAAATTCAGGACTTCTATGTGAAATTTTCTGGGTAGTGTGCATGAATGATAGAAGGTTTGGGTTGGAAGCAACCCTAAAGACGGCCTTGGCTCCAGCCCTGCATTGGGCAGGGACACCTCCCATTAGACCTGGATGCCCCAAACTCTGTCCAACCTGGTTATGTATGGACATGCAGTGGTGTTGATGAGTATCACTGCACTATAAAGTATCTTTCATGAAAATACCATTTTACCACTAGGCAAAGTAAGTTTTTAAGGAATTTTGTATCATTTTAGTTGGTATTTCTGTGCTTGACCTAAATGCCTCCATCTTCTCTTGGAGCGGTCACACAATGAACAATGTCAAGAGACTTCCTTGTACACATTAAGGATAAATGCTGTCTTATGTGTTTTCAGACAGACTGCTATTTATGGATGGATTTCTTCCAGAGCATGATTTTTAAATATATAGAGTATAGAACCAACAGTGATGCCAATGACAATACAAGTGATCAGAAAATTTAATAACTGAAAGACAAGTCAAGAAGTTTGGGCATGTTAGTTTTCTGGGTATTTTTTTAACTGTTCAAGCATCCATAGTGTACATTTATTCTATTAAATGATAGAAGGCAGTAGGTTTAGCTACAGGCAATTCCTTCATAGGCAGATTTTTTTCAGCATATGATAACTTTGCTACAGTGGCAATGACTCAAACTGTGCTATTCTCTTGGAAAATGCCTGTTCACACTCTTGAATTGCTGTCTTGTTTTGGGCCCTGAGCATTTTTGGATTATGGCTTTGAATTATGTTGTTCCCTCAATCATGTGATTTTTGGTCATTTTCTTATTTATTTTTAATTTGGCTTTATGCTGCTTACTGCTTAATCCAGGACATTATATAAACTCAGATATCTTCTCAGAGCAATCACAAGATTGCTGATAGCCAGCAATTGCTTACCTGTGTATTTCTGCACAGGAAGATTGCTCTTTACAATCCACAGAACAATTCTTACCCCTGATAAACTACTTCCTACAGATTACAATATGCACTCGTGTCAGTGAATATTCAGTCTATGTAGGAGAAGATTACTGCACCTGAGATTTATTTGGCAGACCTCAGAGATGCACTCTGTCCATGGATCTTACAGGTCAAAATTTCAAAAGAAGTAACAAGGATATAGCCTCAAAATGCATGCATATGCTAAAATTGTTCTCTGTTTTCATAAAACATGCAGGATGTTGGCAGATGCTATTACTGTATATGCAGATAACGCTCTAAGTAAAAAAGACTGATTGCTTGTGAACATTTTCATTGTTTGTACCTGTATGTTTCTGAATACATCAGATACCTACCTATATTTTTTCTTTCATAGAATTATAGAGTAATATGATTATGAAGGTTGGAAAAGATCACTAAGATACCCATAGAATTAAAAAACCAAACAAACAACTATTCAATATAATTGTCACATTATCTATATGTTGATATACTTATTACTAGAACATCAAAGTGGCATTACTTAATTTCACCGAGTAGTGACAACAGTGATCACTTCAGTTGCATTCATTTGTGCATATTTCCCAGAACTATTTAAATGCTTGTTTTGAGATGTTCATCCATTCCACTTATTTCTGATTGTCAGTAGAACTGAGATACAGAGAAGTAAACGCACTTCTGTTTTATTTAACGATGCCTATCATCAATGAAAGTTATTCTACAGTATTATGATTTTTCCTTAGTAGGTAGGAAATGGCCTAGCCAGTGAGAAGAGACCACCTAGGAGTCTAAAAACAATGTAATGCAAATAAGTGGAACACTCCCCTTCAGCAAAATTAATTGATTTAATTTTCAAGAACAAAGGCATGGGCTGCTTGTTCAGCCTTCCAGACTTATCAAAGACTGGGAAAGAAAGGTGGGGAAAGTGAAAGAACCAACGGTGCAAACAAAGGAGATACTGAAAGCAGTAGCACAAGACAAGAATACTGTCATGCTGATAAGTTGTGAATAGCAGGAAAAAATAAAGATATATTTGTTAGAACTGTACTATTGCTGAAACATATTGCATGTGGCTCTACAAGTCCTAATATCACTAAATCTTGACATCACAGATCTAATTTCCTTCAAAATTATTCTACAACAGTAACCTATAGATGGCCTACCAAAAGTCATGAATAGTATATAGCTCCTTAAACTGGTTTGTAATCTACAGCTTTACTCACAGACAGCACCACACGAACACATGCACATCACAAATAAGCACCAGTACCCACACAGTGCATCCTCTTGGCTTTAACAGCATAATCAGAAATACTATGGTATCACTTAAAGTCCTATTGTCTACACTTTAGAAACTTAACAAAGCAGAGAGACTGATGTGCACAGGTGACTTGGTAACTCGTGTTTTACACTTTGAAAGAGGCTTCTGAAGTTTCTGGTAATGCAGTCTTTCGTCACAGCACTGTGGCAGAATCTATTTGGGAATATGGTCTTCCAGTCTCTTAGGTTTGATTGTGGAGCAGGAGGAAATAGCATCCAGCTGAGAATACCCAGCTAAGGACGAGCGATTGATT